GAATTGGGTAAACAGTTTACCATGAAGTTCCGTTTAGGTGAAAATTAGGTAGGTTTGCCTAGCCCCTTAGGATTTACTCTAGTATATATATATATATATATATATATATATATATATATATATATATATATATATATATTTTTAGTTGTTTGTGTCCCTGGGTTTAAGGCTTTGGCGATCCTCAGACAAACTGATTATTTTTTTTTTAAATTTTGGGGTTATGTAGATTGCGTGTATTGGTGTTATTATGGAAGTGGGGGGATCGTCGTCGTGATGTCACTCATGCTAACTCAAACATGGATGCATGCCCGGACACCCGCTGAGGCACGCTGACACACATACACACTCGCTCGTCCGCCAGGGCCCATATAGTCATAAACATATGTGAACTCTCTGATATTGAGCGCTTTCTAAGCAGTACCACACAATAAAATAATTATATATATATTTATATATATATATATATATATATATATATATATATATATATATATATATATATATATATATATATATATATATATATATATATATATCTGAAGGTTCTGGAGGCACTTTACATCGGGTCCCACAAGCCTTCTTTTGTGCAAACAACGTGAGTGTTTGTTTGGGCTCGCTGTCATTTGTCTCTAGTTCCTTCTGCATATATATAAATATATATATATTTTTTTCCCCAATTCCTTTTATTGTACATTTTTCTGTATTAATTTTGAATCTCCTGTTGAAGCCTGAAGAGCGTGAGCGAAACCGGTTGCTTCCCCCACTTCTTTTTATTTTTATTTTTTTTTTTTTTTTAATATGTCTTATAATATTAAATTTTATACTTTTAATTCGATCATTAAATTTTGTACCTACAGTGCAACCCGGATATAAAAGACCCGGATATAAGAGAAACCCGGATGTAAGAGAGATTTTCTCTGGTCCCAAATTAGAGCCTGTGTTAACGTATATAAAATAGACCAAACCCGGATATAAGAGACTTTTCTCCGGTCCCGACAACTCTCAATATCCGGGTTACACTGTACAAAATTACAAAATTATCTTTAAATATATATATATATATATATATATATATATATATATATATATATATATATATATACACACACACACACACACACACACACACACACACACACACACACACACACACACATATATATATATATATATATATATATATATATATATATATATATATATATATTTCTGAGTTGTTTCTTTTCTCTTTCTTCCGTGTTTTTGCTTCTCTACTACCTACACTCTTCAAAAATTAGGCTCCAATGACAATCACAATTTTCTGTCTTCCTTAACTCTGTTTTTTTATTTTTCTTTCTCATCACGCTCTCACTTTCAGTAACCCAAATGCCCATAGCCCTGCTTGGCCTGAAATGATTATAAAACAATAACAAATTTAAAATTTTCTGTCAGCCGCGCTATGGAAACTACAACTCTAACGAAGTCGATTAAATTTCATGCTCTTTTTTCTTTTCTTTTTTTTTTATTTTGGAGTTGTTTTGGCCACCAAACATACAGTTTTGAGAGATGAAAGCCTTCTTAAACGTTCCCAGGTTTGTAGCGATAAGGAAATAGATAAGAAAACAGCCCCAGTTCTTTGTCAAGAATGTATCTTCAGTGACCAAATGCAATAAACCTTCTCGTCCGTCAAACATTGTCGGCATTTCCAATCTACGTAAATATCGAAATTCAACGAGGGTCATTGCCAATCAGCTCCATGTGTCGGAGTTCACAATCAGATCTGAGAAGCAGGAATACTTTAGATACAGACCCCACGTTATCAAAAGTGGGAAGATCACGAAGAGTAGTACTCAGGAAAACTATTTGATCTGGTCGCAACGCTTGATAATCAAAGACGACTGCACTGATGAGAGCAAAATGCTGTTTATTTTTTATCAGAAGAAGAAAACTTTGTTCACCATCAAAATATAAGCAGGACGGATTACACATGCTTCTGTGCCAGCCCCACTGAAACCTCACCCTACTTCTTATGCACAGGAAGTTCCATGTTGTCTGTGATGGTATCGGAGTTATGAAGACTTCCGCATTTTTACCACAAGATCTTAGGGTCCCTTCCACCGCTTATATTGTGACAGTGGATACCATTGTCAAGCTCTGGACCCAGCAAGTGGCTAGGAGGAGACCGTATATAACTGTTCTCTCACACAGACGGTAGGACTTAGCAATTGCTAGTTGATCATATTCACGAACCTGTTACCCTTCTCGTATGGCCTCCAAGGTCTCCTAATTTAAACCTTATGGACTCTTATGTCTGGAGCGTCGCTGAGAGATCAACAAGCTTGCCTGCAACACCAAAGACTCGCAGAAGGCTGCAATCTAGGACCTCATGGCCAAGGAATAAATAGCACCTGATCAACAGTCGTATTCGTTTTAGGGAGCCGCATTGAACATATAATAGAAGCTGATGATGGTTATATTGAATGGACCTATGTTTGCTTATATATGCAAGAATATGAACGGTGTAACCAACACCAGTTCATGACGGTTGAACTCTCTGCTTTGGCAGAGAGGAACCCGGACGAAACTTTGCCGAAGGGCAGGGTTTCGTCCGGGGAGGTAGACAGGCCCTGAACCCGTCTAGGCGGGAACAAAGGGTATATTTTTGGCCGAGCGTACGGGCTCGGGAAACCCACGTTAAACTTGGCCTTGTGCCACATGCAACCCTCGTGGCGGGGGTGGCTAGATACCGTATATATGCAAGAATATGTGAACGAAACCCTACTTTCTCTGCTGAATAACGATTTTGTTTTATTCCCTGACCAGCCGAGTCGTAGGGACACAACGTGTCCTGCAGCCGCAGTAGATTTGTTGTTTCCTGGGCAAGATAGTCTGACGGAGCTCAACCCTTTCCAGGCCGGTTTTGAATTCAGAGTTTTCCCTTCTCCTAGACCGGTTGCCATCCAAGGCTATAGAACCCAGTTTGTCCGGCTATTTACCCATAGCTGTGGGGATAAGAAGAGGATTCATACATTTCCCATGGGTATTAGCACGTAAGTGAATGTAATAGATCCGACTGGAATTCGAACTCGGCTCTCCGATTTCTGAAAGGCTATCCATTACTCCACCGTATTTCCACCTCAAATGATTACCTCAAATTAAAATTTCTTCCCAATCACATCCTTTAATTTATTTACACCATTTAGATACGGGCTATTGTCCGCAATTTTCTTGTCATTCCATTTCAAATGTCGTCTCTTCCGACGTTAATCGTGTTTATTTTTTATGTAGTTATGAAATATTAGCTTTATTAAAATTGTTTCTATGTAGGGACAGAGTGTTACCACTGCCGAAAATGTCAACACAGCGGTTCGGATGTGGTCAACATGTAATCTAATATTTCTAAATATGTTACAGTGCATTGAAATAGCGAAAAATGCTTTCCAAAAGCTAAACAAAGTATTAAGAGACAAGAAAAGTTCGGTTGAAACAAAGAAAAAGTGCTTAACTATTATGTAATAACAATGTTCCAACTCTATCTTTGCAAGAGACAGCTCAGAGCACATATGGATTATTGCTGTTATATCTGGGATGGAGCTGATGACTTCTAACTTGACTGAGCTAAAAAGCGTCTACGCAGCCATGTTGGTGATTGTGCTAAATTATTTCCCACTCTACAACCCCTTTCCAGCTGACGAAATGTCATGAGCCTCTCGTTTTCCATAGTATGCGTTCTGACGAGCTAGGCTCGTTAATACCACCAGCTCTGAGCTTCCCAACTGGGCCCTGCCATGCCACGTACACAAGAGTGAATCATCCATGTTCCCTCCGTATTTTATTAATTAGTAATAAGTTCCATTCAGACAGCTTTTTCCGAAGAACTGCTGCTTTGTGGAACAGATACTTTCCGAGATGTTTTCCTAATCACTACAATCTTGACAACTTCAAGTGTAGGGTTAACCGTTATTTTACCTGAAAAGCCTTCACTAATTGCTTTTTCAACAGTGCATTGGAATAACGAAAATGCTTTCCCAAAGCTGAACAAAATATTAAGAAACAAGAAAAGTTTGGTAGAAACATAAAAAAGTGCTTGACTATTATGTAATAACAATGTTCCAACTCTATCTTTAGAAGAGGTAGCTTCAGAAAACATATGGATTATCGCTACCATATCTGAGCTGGAGCTGCTCCCTTCTAACTTGACTATCTTGATAGTCATGTGGGTGATTATGCGAAATTATTTCCCACTCTACAACCCCTTTCCAGCAGACGAAACGTCGTGAGCCTCTCGCTTTCCATAGGATGTGTTCTGACGAGCTACGTTCGTTAATACCACCAGCCCTGCCCTTCGCAACTGGGACCCGCCATGCCACGTACACAAGAGTGAAACATCCCTGTTCCCTCCGTATTCCATCAATAAGAAGTTCCAATCAGGCAGCTTCTTCCCGAGAACTGCTGCTTTGTGGGACAGACTCTCGGCGGAATGTTTTCCCAATCACTACAATCTTGGCAAAAGCGTTATAGCATAGCCTTCACTAATTGCCTTTTCAACACCACTTGGTAACCCTCTACATTTCACGGCATTTGGGCCTGTATAGATGGAACATTAGTATAAAAATACGATAGTGAATGATAGACAATGTCCTCACAGATAAAGAGAAGACTTAAGACAACAGGGAATAAGAAGGATTACTTATTGGCGCCTTCAATCTTAACAAGATAAACTATGCAGAAGACCCTTTGTTGAAAACAGGCACAGAAAAGAAACTACAAGAACTCTTACAAGAAAAAAGACTAAACATTAATTGCAAGACTGAATGCATAGTTGTTAGCAAAAGGGACATCCCAACATAAAAAAAATAAAAAATGTTGGAAAATGTCATGATTCAAAAAATAACATGGACAAAATTTTAGATATCTTTAGAAATTTGAATAGGACAAAATTTAAAGACCAATTAATGTCCAAGTTATGAAGAGATACAGATCGTTAAATAATAAAAAAAATTAAAAAGCGCAGTTGGTACTTAGGAATGTACCTTAACATAGAAAAAGTAGAGAGAAAGAGGGGAGAATGTATAGAGAAAGTGGGGAGAAATTAACTCAACATAGAGAAAGTGGGAAGAAAGTATAGAGAAAGTATAGTGAAAATATAAAGTATAGAGAAAGTATTTTAACAGAAAAAGTATAAAGAATGTGTATAGAAAGTATAGAGAAAGTATCTTAACAGAAAAGTATAGAGAAAGTATAAAGAGAAAGTATAAAAATGATAGAAAGTATAGAGAAAGTATCTTAACAGAGAAAGTGTAAAGAAAGTATAGAGAATGTATAAAGTATAGAGAAAGTATAAAGAGAAAGTATAAAAATGTGTATAGAAAGTATAGAAAAGTATCTTAACAGAGAAAGTATAAAAAAGTATAGAGAATGTATAGAAAGTATAAAATAAAGAGAAAGTATCTAACAGAGAAAATGTGTATAGAAAGTATAGAGAAAGTATCTTAACAGAGAAAGTATAAAGAAAGTATAGAGAATGTATAAAGTATAGAGAAAGTATAAAATATAGAGAAAGTATCTTAACAGAGAAAGTATAAAAAATGTGTATAGAAAGTATAGAGAAAGTATCTTAACAGAGAAACTATAAAGAAAGTATATAGAAAGTATAAAGTAAAGAAAAAGTATAAAGTATAGAGAAAGTATCTTAACAGGGAAAGTATAAAAAATGTGTATAGAAAGTATAGAGAAAGTATCTTAACAGAGAAAGTATAAAGAAAGTATAGAGAATGTATAAAGTATAGAGAAAGTATAAAATATAGAGAAAGTATCTTAACAGAGAAAGTATAAAGAATGTGTATAGAAAATATAGAGAAAGTATCTTAACAAAGTATAAAGAAAGTATAGAGAAAGTATCTTAACAGAGATTATAAAAATGTGTATAGAAAGTATAGAGAAATTTTCTTAACAGAGAAAGTATAAAATAAAGTATAGAGAAAGTATAAAGTATAGAGAAAGTATCTTAACAGAGAAAGTATAAAGTATAGAGAAAGTATCTAAACATAGAGACAGTATAGAGAACGTGTATAGAAAATATAGAGGAAGAATCTTAACATAGGTAAAGTAACACCAGATTATTAAATAGCTTAATGCCTTGCTTGGGGTGATGACGATTAAAAAAAGAAAAAGAAAAGAAGATATTTAGATTTCTGTACCTATTTGATTTTGGTATGTCCAATTCGTAGGTCAGAACTTGGACTTTTCAAATATATGGAATAATTTCAAAGGTAAAGTGCGTGCGTGAATTAAGAGAAATCTAAACTAGACTAGATGGTTCTACTCATCTCATACAAAATATTGTATCAAGAAACACAATGGTTAGGAGAGACATTTTTTTAAACTGGCATTTTTTGAGCTAAACTCGACTGAATAAAAAGTTAACCTTTTTGAGTGGGTGTAGCTATTTTTTCTGTGACGAGTTGTTGCTAATTGTTATACATTGAATCATCCAGACCGGTTTCCTTTTCTTTCTTGGCTTTAGCATAGCGTTTCGCCCGCTGTACCCTCCGGCCTACATCGTGCCATGAGAATATACTCAATAAATAAAAAAAAGTGGTTTCCGTTCAACATTCCATGAAGGTTACTGAATGCGACAGACACCTGAAGAAGGCCAGGGGGTATAGAGGTCGAAATGTTGTGATACAAATAACAAATACGAGGAAACCGTGTAAATGTATAAATATATAAAAGAGTCTGGTTTGTTTTACAATGTTCCTGATACTATCTGACATTATAAAATTGATAATACCGATATTTTATATGTAACGCTATTTTAGACAATAAATATTACTTTACTTTTCATCATTTTCTTATTTTTATTCATTTAAAAAGAGAGTAAGTATGATGAAAAAGTGAATGTTATGACCGTCTACAAGGTTTCCGAGCACACCAGTCGGCTAGGGAGGTAATCCAATCCCTGTTGCAGACACCCGCTCAGGTATATTTGCGTCTGTATTTTATAATGTACACTGAACAGACCTTAGTTACACCTTCTGAGAAATAGTACCTAATCTCGCATGGTCAGTAGTTTAAACAAGGCCAGTATGCCATAACTCTGTCACGACGACGTGTCATTACCTGCTAGCACAACAGTCAACCGCTCACGAAGTTTACCGTCTGTCCAATTTCATGCTCAAGGATTGGGTCTTCTAGGTGTAAGGTTTCCAGCTCCTATCCAACGGCGCCAAATGCTAGGATCAAACTACCTACAAATTCACCCATGACGATATTCAAATTCGAGTTTATATTAAAGCATTCTAGCCAATTCTTGGGAGACAGTACATAATCTGGTGTTGATCACCAGTTTGAACAAGGAAGTGTAAGCTTAAAATCTCTGTCACGATGACCTGTGACTTCGTGCTAGCACAAAAATCGACGGCTTTCGAACAGCATCGTCTATTTAAATTCACGCCACAAGGCTTTGGACATCTCGTTGTTTGTTTTCAGCTATTTTCCATCACTGAGGGTCGCCTCTCATACGGATAGTCCCAAGAAATCAACTGCTTAAAAAATAAACCATACTGAGATTCGATTCTGAGTTTATACTGCAATATTCTTAGCAACGCGCCAACGTGTAGTGAATTGAGAATACAGTAAATGCGTGACGTACATATGCCTCTAACATCTGAAAAGAATTCGTGACAAAATGGAAGGTATTTGGTTTTCGGGGGCATTCATCAAACGTTCGATCTTTCCACGAGTCTGTGAAGGGTTCCGGGCGAAAAATCTTCGAAAAGCCAAAAATAAAGTGAGTGAAGGTTGTAATAATGAACAGCTATAGTTTTAAACTATGCAACCTGAATATCCGCGATTTAGCAATGAACGCACATATCATAGTAACTTAAATCTGTCAGTTAAAAATTTAGAAAGGAATATCAACTTTTGTTTTTTAATAGATTCAAACTTTTTTTAAAAAAATTATTCCGGACCAAGTAAGATAATAAAGCAACTAAGACGCAAGGAGCTAATGAGTGCTAACGAATATGAGAAAAATAAAACATTATTCAGGAGAGGGGACAATTAAAGAACAGGAATTAAGAAAGATTATAACGATTGACATTAAAACGTTTGAGGATCAAAGTTGACTGGAAAGTAAGAAGACGGAAGAGAGTTCCACAATCGAGAAGTTCGAGAGAAGAAACTGTTAGCATAGAACAGCCACGGACAACATTTTTTTTTCGAACAGTGGGCTACATAAGGTACAGTTCATCATAAAGCAGGCAACACTGCTAGAAAAAATTCATTACAGATACTGCAGCCATTTTGCCAACAAAAGAGCATGCGTATAAGCATCTGCCCTAGAAATGAAAAGCTTTTTTTTTTCTTTACAGAAAATATTCCTTCTATAATTAAAAAAAATGAAGTCCTGGTATTATATTATCACTGATGACAGACTGATTAACACTCACTGCTGTATGTGATTTGTTTCCAATTTATTCATTTGACGATGAAAAAACATTATATATTTATTCACTAGAGAAAAATAATTACCATTAACGTTTCCGGTTTCTGAAGCTAAAGGTGTTTACACTTATGATCTTCCTTAGTGAAAATCCTCAATGGTTTAAATGCTGACAACGTTACCTTTAAGGAAATGTTACAAAATTCCAGACAGGTTGTACTTAATCTTTGTTTATGTCTGTGCCAATGTATCAGTGAACAGGTGAGAACGAAAAACGTTATTTTCCTGTGTGAAATTATGTATGACTTTCTTAATGCCAATCGGGCCGAATGTGGTCCGGGAGTCACAGTTTGCCCATGACTGGCATAGAACTTAAGGTAACGTCGAGTGTATAATGATGTGACCTTTCTTATTATTTATAAGTAATGTGGAATAGAATTCGAATTACTTTCATTTGGTCAGAAAATAGAGCAGAATTTATTTTATTTCTTTTCATACAAAACATGAATGTTGTGGGTCTATCATTTCGCGCTATTTACCCAGTAAGTGAGTTAGTGAGCGAGCGAGTGAGTGCGTGAGTGAGTGCGTGAGTGCGTGCGTGTGTGAGTAAGTGAGTGAGTGAGTGAGTGCGTGAGTAAATGAGTGCGTGAGTGAGTGAGTGAGTGAGTGAGGAAGCGAGCGAGTGAGTGCGTAAGTGTGTGAGTGAGTGAGTGCGTGTGTGAGTGAGTGAGTGAGTGAGTGTGTGTGTGACTGAGTGAGTGAGTGAGTGAGTGAGTGAATGCGTGAGTGAGTGCGTGTGTGAGTGACTGAGTGAGTGAGTGCGTGGGTGACTGAGTGAGCGAGCGAGTGAGTGCGTGAGTGAGTGAGTGAGTGCGTGTGTGAGTGAGTGAGTGCGTGAGTGAGAGAGAGGTGAGTGCGTGTGTGAGGTGAGCAGGTGGTGAGTGCGTGAGTGCATGAGTGAGTATGTGAATGAGTGAGTGAGTGAGTGCGTGTATGAGTTAGTGGTGATTGAGCGAGCGAGTGAGTGCGTGGTGGTGGTGGTGAGTGAGTGCGTGTGTGGTGAGTGAGTGTGCGTGGTGACTGAGTGAGCGAGCAGGTGAGGTGCGTGTGGTGGTGGAGTGAGCGAGCAGGTGAGTGCGTGAGTGAAGGTGTGACTGAGTGAGTGAGTAAGTGAGTGCGTGTGTGGTGGTGAGTGAGGTGAGTGAGTGGTGTGGTGGGCGGGAGTGGGCGGTGAGTGAGTGGTGAGTGAGGAGTGAGTGAGATGTGTAAATGAGCGATTGAGTGCGTAAGTGAGTGAGTGAGTGAGTGAGGATCATACTTATTAAATCTATCAAAATTTGAGGAAAATATTGCTCGCTAAAAAGTTCCCGCAGGCCGCAAATCAGATTGAAAACATCGCTTCTCGCTCCAACCCCTAAGTTAAGCAATCTAGAACCCGGTCAGTACTTATATGGGGAACGCTTTGTGAACAGTAGGTACTGTAAGCGAACTCCTAAAATCTGAAATATGTTTCGCTTTTTAAAATAACTCTCAAAAGGTTACAAAGTCGTAAAAATCAAATCAAGCAATCAACGCCGCTGGCTGCGTATTTGAGATCCCAGGGCTTGGGACATTTTCTCATAATAAATATCCCTAACTTTTCGTCTGAGACATACGTGGAAAAGGTTTTAGTCTAAAACAAAACGCACCAATATTTTTTAATCTTAAAAGCTCTGAGAAATTTGTCCTTCACAAATAATTAGTCGTTGTCGACAAAGGGTTAAGTGCAAGCATCATGCATGGCTTTGGATCGCCGATCGAACCACACATCACTCTAACCGGATAGGCCCCTTTGAGCAGCTTTTGGGACTTAAACACAACCCAGTCCTCAAGTGGAACTCGTACATACGAACCGTCGCTAAAGATCTTTGAAAAATAGTCGGTTGTACTGCTCTTGATATCCTCTACCATTCAGTCAGTCAGATATGTGCCATGCGTGATACACGAATAGGCGATCATGTATCTTTTCGATATAAGACTGACGACTCCCGCATTAGACAAGTTGCCATCCATAGAACCTGGTCTGAAGTGGGAGGAAAGAGAGGAAGAGGATTCATACCTTTCCTAAGGTCTCCTAATTTAAACCTTATGGACTGTTATGTCTGGAGCGTGGCTGAGAGATCAACAAGCTTGCCTGCAACACCAAAGACTCGCAGATGGCTGCAATCTAGGACCTCATGGCCAAGGGATAAATAGCACCTGATCAACAGTCGTATTCGTTTTAGGGAGCCGCATTGAACATATAATAGAAGCTGATGATGGTCATATTGAATGGACCTATGTTTGCGTATATATGCAAGAATATGAACGGTGTAACCAGCACCAGTTCATGACTGTTGAACTCTATTCTTTGGCAGAGAGGAACCCGGACGAAACTTTGCCGAAGGGCAGGGTTTCGTCCGGGGAGGTAGACAGGCCCTGAACCCGTCTAGGCGGGAACAAAGGGTATATTTTTGGCCGAGCGTACGGGCTCGTGAAACTCACGTTAAACTTGGCCTTGTGCCACATGCAACCCTCGTGGTGGGTGGCTAGATACCGTATATATGCAAGAATATGTGAACGAAACCCTGCTTTCTCTGCTAAATAACGATTTTGTTTTATTCCGTGACCAGCTGA